TACCCCAAAGGGGACCATAATTTTGATAACTACTCTTGTCGTTACAGGGGTGCGTCTTCCTTTTTGCTGTCGTTGCGAGGCTCACTGGCTTCCAGAGTCCGCGAAAAAACAACATAAAAGCAACATAAAGCAACTACAGCAACAAAAACACGGGTTCCCCCGAAACTGTAAATAAACCCTAAACCCTAAACTGTACATAAACACTAAGCCGTATACTGCACATAAACCCTACGCCCAAAACCGTACATGAACCCTAAACCCTATACTGTACACAAACCCTACTAAATCCTAAACATATACAAAATCCCTAAACCCTAAACCCTAAACTGTACACTGCACATAAACCCTCAACCTTAATATGCGGAGTCCCCAGGCTTTGCTTTCCGGTGGTAGGCCTTATAGGGGTTTAAAGTAAATCCTAAACCCTAGCCTCCCTACACCCAAAACCCTAAACCCTAGCCTCCCGTAACCCAAAACCCAAAACCCTAGCCTCCCTAATCCCAAACCCTAAACTTTCTAAACTTTAGGGTTTAGGGTTTAGGCACGGCTTCGGGTCAGGGCATAGGACTCAGATGAGGCTTAGGGGTACACTTAAACGGGTCATGGGACTTGGTAACTTCAAGGGTTCCTTCAAAAGGGTTTAGGGTTGAAGGTTTAGGGTTTGGAAAGGGTTCTATATAATTGAGGTATACTTAAAGGATTATGCACTTTAGGACTGCAGGGTTCCTTGAGCTCGTGTAAATAAACGGTTTAGGGTTTAGGGTTTGGCGTCTGTAAGGGTCGTAACTAGGAGCAGAATTTACTATAAATAATGGTAACTGTACCTTTACCTACTTCTAATCCCGCTTAAGGCACTTGTGACCTTAATTACTAAGTCGCATGATCCTCCAAGTAAGGCTTGCTGATCGTGCTTGTTTGGGATTAGGGTAGTTCTCTAAATTAGGGTCCCTTTTCAGGTCCCCAATATAGCACGGCACCCTTCTAAAAAGGACCCCATAAAGGACCCTATTTTAGAAAACTACCCATTAACTTTCGTGCATGTCCTTGTCTCCGCGGCCGCAGAGATTGACGAGCCTTGCAGTATGGAAATGAGCCACCGTTTAAAGGAAACTGCAGGTGGGGAGTTTAGGGTATATAGGGCTTCTATAAGGCTTCCATAAGGTATACCGACCTTCTATAAGGCTCCTATAACGGTAACTAACCACCTGAAAATGTCCTAGAACCGTGGAGCTTTGAACGGATGAACAGATGACGGAGATGCTTCGCAGAAGCAACAGTTCGAATCACACATCGTAGTTCCATTTTAAGTACTTATACTCGGACCCCTAAACCCTAAACCCTAAAACCTAAACCGTTATCATTAAAACCGTTCCATTAAGTACCTATACTCGGACCCCTAAACCCTAAACCCTAAACCCCTAAAGCCATCACTTTTTGTTGCGAGTAAACCCCGAACCCTCACAAGTCGATGGCCTTAAACATCGCAGACCCGAGATACTGCAGAATTAACTGTTGCCCAGGCAGCGAAAGGTTGGGCAGTTAAGGGTACCTTAAAGGGTTTAGGCTTTAGGGGTTTAGCGTTGCGTTGCTATAAGGGGTCACAACGGTTCTATAGCGTCTTAATAGGGTACTTCAGGATCATGGGACTTAGTAACTTTACGGTTTAGGGAGAGGGTTTAGGGTTTAGGGTTTAAGGTTTAGGGTTTAGGGTTTAGGGTTTAGGGCTTCCTTCAACCCTAAACCCTAAACCCTAGACCCCTCGAGACGTGGTCTCTCTGAGGGGTGCTATAAGGGCCTAAAACTTATTCAAAGGGTCATGGGCCTGAGGAACTTAAAGGGTTCCTCGACGAAAGGGTTCCTTCAAAGGGCGTCGATGCTTAGGGTTTAGGTTTAGGGTTTCCCTTAGGGTTTTATTATAAGGGTTTAGGGTTTAGGATTTTATTTATTAGGGTTTAGGGTTTAGGATTGTATTTAATAAGGGACTTAGAGAGTTCTCGTTTATGGAAAGAATACTTGGACTTGGTCGCTAGAGTTCCCTCAAAACGGGTACCTTAAGAAAACTCCCCATTAAAGCAACCCCTAAAACACCTTTAAGGGAACTTCTATGAAGGTTCTAGTTGTGCTTAAAAGATCATGGGACGTAGTAAGAAGGCATTCTAGTTATCAAGGTAGCTGTAACTTATAGTTGTAACCCCAATAGACGTACTTATATCACCTGACTTGCCAAGCCTCCAAGTACACGTCTTCGGGCTGTTCGGATTTGGGGTGAGCTGTTTCAGGATCTGGATGCTTTAGGGTTTAGGGTTTAGGGTTAGGGTGGGTTCAGGGAGCAGCACATTGACCATCAAATGCAACCGATATTGCCTTAAAGGATTCTAAATATGAACCCCAAAAAGGAACTACTATGGGGTCTATGGGTAAAAGCAAGCCAAGAAATCTTTCTCAGGCGAGGGACACAATCTGCTCTTTGGGCAGCTTCTTCGCAAGCCTCGGATGCAGAAAAGACACCGGGGAGTGGCTCAGCAATAAGCAACCCTGAGGACGAGGATCGAATTAACTCGGCTCCTACTTAAAGGATCATGGGACGTAGTAAGTAGGGTTATAGCTAAGGTAACCATGCTTATATTTACTTATAACCCCATTTAGGGGACTTATAACCTTACTTACTAAGTCCCATGATCCTCCAAGTAGGGATTTCCCTAAACCCTAAACCCTAAACCCTAAACCCAAATTCAGAGTTGTCTAGGGTATGTTTGGCGCCTGGAGGCTTCAGGGCGTAAGACCACAATCATGAGCGACGGTCAAAAAAACATGGCAGCAACAACAGAAAGGCGCGTCAAACCGACATCTGTCACCCGGGAAACCCTAAACCTAGGAGTTAGGATTTTGGGGGGACCCTTGGAAATATAGACCCTCTCAATAAGGTCCCTTTTAATAAGAGCCATAAGTAGGGTTAAGAAGGGTCCCCTTTAAGGGGTCTCCCGAAAATACTACCTAGGAAAACCAGATCCACAAAGGCCCCAAACCCTCCCTCACCCGAAATCCCAAAGCGCGGCCCCAAAGCCAAATCATTTTTACCAGCACCCACGCAAGGGCCCTTTAATAGAGTCCTTGTGGTCCTTAATCGTGGGTATCTAGGGTATATTCGAGAACACGAGAACATTTGATCAGGGTTTAGGGTGCCCTAAACCCTCTTTCAAAAGACTTCTCTCCGCGTCGCTCCATGGTCTGGTGCAGCGCATGGCTCGGCTCCAGGGCAGGCACGATGCCCTCCTTCCTGGCGCGTGCTTCGTGTTCCTTTAAAGGTTTAGGGTTTAGGGGTTTAGGGTTTAGGGGTTTAGGGTTTAGGGTTTAGTGGTTTAGGGTTGAGGGGTTTAGGGGTTTAGGGTTTAGGGGTTTAGGGGTTTAGGGTTGAGGAGTTTTGAGGGGTTTAGGGTCAGGGTAACGGGCTTAGGATTTGGGTTTCAGGCCCTCCTTCCTGGCGTTGGGGCTCTATGCTCTTCAGGGCTCCTTTAAGGGTTTCTAGTGTTCCTTTAAGGGGTCCTTTAAGGATTCAGGGTTCAGGGGGCCTTTAATGCTTTCTAGTGTTCCTTTAAGGGGTCCTTTAAGGATTCAGGGTTCAGGGGGCCTTTAATGCTTTCTAGGGTTCCTTTATAAAAGGGGTCCTTGACGGGTTGAGGGTTCAGGGGTCCTTTAGGGGTTTCTAGTGTTCCTTTAAAGCGGGGTCCTTTAAGGGTTTAGGGTTCAGGGGTTCTTTAAGGGTTTCGTAGTGTTCCTTTAAAACAGGGTCCTTCAAGGGTTTAGGGTTTGGGGGTCGTTTAACGGCTCCTAGGGTTCCTTTAAGGGTTTAGGTGTTCTGGCTTTGTATTGGCGCCCTCCTTCCTGACTTGGGGAGCTGCTTCGGGTTCTTTACTAGATGTCGATTTCAACAGTCCGCAAGGCTTTTGCGTTGTCCCAAGCCCTGCACCCTAAACCCTAAACCCTAAACCCTAAACCCTAAACCCTAAACCCTAAACCCTAAACCCTAAACCCTAAACCCTATTCAGTTCGACAACATTCTGAATCCCTAAAGTTCGAGCCCCGAGAGATCCAAAAGCCCCAAAAAACCCACGATGCCTGGAGACCAGGCGCATGGCGTCAAGGGCCTCTCAACGCAAGTTAAATGGGTCATCTCTTGGTCTCTGGTTCTCCCTGAGGGTCCGTGCCCTCATACAGTATACATATAAATGTACTTCAGCGTTCAAGCAGTCCTTCTATTTCCTGTAAACTTTAAGGCGTATATATACTACATCGTTTCGCGTTTTCTTTCTGGGCTGCAAGGGCCAAGCTTCCAATGCTTGTGAGTAATTACGATCGGGTCCTGTGGTTATGTACTTCTTGACGCAACTACCTTAGGTAAGCCTCGTCACTGAACCTTAGTGGCTCCACTGTTCATGCTACAGGTGCCTCATGACCTCTGGAGAAGCAGCTGGAATGTCGTAGTTTTCCGACAGGGAAATCGCGGCCACATGCGGGATGCTGAATTTGGCATAAGCTGCAACATCCTTATCTGTGTTGGCCACCACGAAATGATGGTCGTAGGCCAGGATATACTTTCGAGGCTGGTGGAGGAACTGCCCCACATGTGGCTGGCAACATTCTGTGCCTTAGCCTCTGCTGCATGGACACGTTCTCACACGATAAAGCACGATAGCAACCCGAGGCTTGAAAGGCAATACCCTAAGGTACTCTGCCCCTAAAGCATATCGGTAGTTTTCTAAATTAGGGTCCCTAGTAGGAACTCCTTCTAAGCCAACGTTTTTCATGCACAGGTACATTGGCCCATAGGGTAAGGTTTGTCGAAGTCAGAAGAGGACTGCTATCATGCTTCGTTTTGTCCTACTTCACGGGACATTGTATCTAAAGTAACGACCAAGGCAAATAGATATACTTACAACTTCACATAAGCCCGATTCAGCGATTATGCAATTGTCCCATGATCCTCCAAGCAAAAGAATCGAAATCAGGGCGTAGGATCCTAATGCGAGGAAACCTTAAACCCTAAACCCTAAAACCCTAAACCCTATAGGAGCCTTTAATGGTCTGTCTTGGAGCCTCCAGGCTCTGAACCTAGGGCTCAGGGAGGCCCAAGAAGAGAAGCCTTCTGATGCCTTTATATGATGCCGGCTCTCAATGTAGGGCTCAGGGAGGCCCAAGAGGAGAAGCCTTATTGTGGAGCCTGTATATGATCCTACCCTAAACCCTGAACCCATCTAAGGTTTGGGTTTAAGGTTTAGGGTTTAGGGTTTAGGGTTTAGGGTTTATACTAGGGCCCCAAAATAAGAGCATCGTTTGTACGATCTCTGCTAAGGTAAGGGAATGGGGACTTCTCGGGGAAGGTACTTTGGGTGCAGGGTTTAGGGTTTAGGGGAAGCCCTAAGCCCCTTATCATTGAAGGCTTAAAGGAAACTAGAGGTGGGGAGCTTAGGGTATACAGGGCTTCTATAAAGCTTCTAGAAGGTATATAGACCTTCCACAAGCCTGTAACGGTAACTACCCACCTGAAAATGTCCTAGATACATTCCTATAACCCCCTGCAAACTACCATAAAGCGCTATGGGTCTATATACGCCTTAACTGAGGAGTATACTTGAAACAACCCCAAACCATGCTATGAAGGCCCTTGTAAGGCAAACGCACCTTCCTCAATTCCGGGGTATGATTTTGGGCTACTAGTTACTACTATTGCTACAACACAGCGCTTAAAGATGTGTGTAGACTATATATATATATACCCTAACCCCCCAGATACCTACTATATAGGGTACTAGAGCCCCTAAGGCCCTATATAGTAGGTACCTGGAGGGTTAGGGTATAGAGAGAGAGAGAGAGATTCCTTGATTGAATAAAACAGTGCCTCCTACTCTTCGGGTGCGTTCTTCTAGAAACCTGAATCTATACTTGGGTAGTTGTCAAAATTAGGGTCCCTTTTTGGGAACCCTAAATATTAGGTGCCGTATTATAATAAGGACCCAAAAAGGGACCATAATTTTGATAACCACCCACTTGGATATGCCCCAAACCCTCTGCCCAAATCCTTATAAGCCCTGAACTCCTAAACTCCTGAACCCTAGAAACACACAACCCCTAAACCCCGAAACCCTAATTAAACCCTGAACCCCTACATAAACCCTATGAAGGTCCTGTTTAACTTTCTAGAAACTGTCAGGGAAGTCTTCAAAGGGGCCCTCCTTCTACTTATGAAGGCCCCTGAATTAAAGCCTATAAACCCTACATCAAATCCCAAGCCCCTTTGAAGGAGCCCTTTTTAAAGGAACCCCTCTAAACCCCTAAACCCTAAACACCTACACCCTAAACCCCTAAACCCCTAAACCCCGAAACCCTAAACCCCAAACCCCCTAAACCCCTAAACCCTAAACCCCTAAACCCTTTTTAAAGGAACCCTTTAAGAGGAGCTTCTGTGGGTGTCGATTTTTATCAGAGCCCCGCCTGCGTGTCGGTGGCGAAAACGTACTCCACGCGACCTCGGGAGTCTCTCAGTAACGATTCTAGAAGGTTTAAAGTTAGGGTTTAGGGTTTAGGGGTTTAGGGGTTTAGGGGTTTCGGGTTTAGGGTTTAGGGGTTTAGGGTCTAGGGTTGTAGGGGTTTAGGGTTTCGGGGTTTAGGGTTTCGGGTTTAGGGCTTTAGGGTTTAGGGTTTAGGGGTTTAGGGGTTTAGGGTTGAGCGGTTTAGGGTTTCGGGTTTAAGGTTTAGGGTTGTAGGGTTTAGGGGTTTGGGGTTTAGGGTTTAGGGTTCAGGGGTTCAGGGTTTAGGGTTTGGGGTTTGGGGTTCAGGGTGCAGGGTTTAGGCTTTGTGCCTAGGGTTTAGGGTTTAGGATTGTCCTGTTC